CCAAACGGGCGGGCTAATGAGGCCAGACCAAAGACCTTATCTACCGCCCAATCTTATCTCCATCCAGACTTTCGACCACGTGCATTCGCGCCGATCTGCTTCTCCGCGGGCTCCAAGATTGGGACGACATGAGCAGGATCTATTGGGAGACTTGAGATTTGGATGGAGATTGGCGTTTTGTAGAAATATGCATATCTAGAGAACCTCTGCCCCTTTCAACCTGAGAATCCAAATGTTGGAACGTCGATGACTTCTTCGCCCTCCAGACGGTGCCCTTGAAGTTCACTCGCATCGCAGATAGGTAGATAGACAACAGACGACAAAATGGCCTCAGGTGATGGTGAACCCAACGAGACCAGCCCCCTCCTCCCAACATCCCAAACCAGACAGTCCATTCCGACTCCATCCCACCAACCCTCACTTTCCAAAGCAGACCAAGCCCTAGGCCAATCGCCCCCTCTCGGCGACCGCCTCCCCTACAATGACTACACCACCATCGACTGGCTCCGCGATCTGACAAAGGACTCCTCTCGCGCCCGTCGTCTCCGCGCACGCCCAGGCATCCGCGGCACCGCAGCGCGCTGGTTCGACCAGTGCCAGGGCTGGATCGCCGCCGCGGTCATCGGCGCGCTCACGGCCCTCGTCGCCTTCGTCGTCGACGTCTCCGTGGCGACGGTGAGCGATTGGAAGGAGGGGTACTGCAAGACAAATGTTTTCTTGGACCGTGGGCGGTGTTGTTGGGGGGTGTCGGAGACGGAGACTTGCGATGCTTGGCAGCCCTGGGTGGAAGAGGGCGAAGGAGGGGGGTACGTCGCCAGCTATGCAGTCTACGTCCTGTTTGCCCTCCTCTTCGGCATCGTCGCGGGAAACGTTACCATGACCACCAAAGCCTCCTTGCCAGCCGTCGACGCCGACAGTGTTGTGACGTCAGGTGCCATGACGGAAGGCAAGACGATGTACATGGCCGCCGGCAGCGGCATCCCCGAGATCAAGACGATTCTGTCCGGCTTCGTCATCCCTCACTTCCTAGACTTCAAGGTCCTTGTCGTAAAAGCCGTGGGCGCGACCTTTGCTGTGTCGACGGGCATGTGTCTGGGCAAAGAGGGTCCCTTTGTCCACATCTCGACGTGCGTCGGGTGGCTGGTGGCCAACCGGTTCCCCAAGTACGGGGACAACCCGCGCAAGATGCGGGAGATGCTGAGCGTGGCGTGCTCTTCCGGCCTGTCCGTCGCTTTTGGTGCGCCGATTGGCGGTGTGCTGTTCAGTTACGAGGTATGTTTATTTTCTGAATGTTTTAATGTGTCTGGTATCGTGGTTCCAATCGGACTGGGGTCGATGATGTTGACCAAACCCATCGATTAGGAAATCAGCACGTACTTCCCGCGACGCGTGTTGTGGCGCGCGTTCCTGTGCTCGCTCATCGCGGCCATTGCTCTCAAAGCGCTGAATCCCACGGGGACCGGGAAGCTGGTGCTCTTCGAGACGAGCTATGGAGTTGACTATGACCCGGTGCACTACTTGGTGTTTGTGATGCTGGGTGTTATTGGCGGCGTATTCGGCGGAGTCTTCTGCAAGGCCAACTTCCTTTGGTCGAAACGATTCCGCAGATACGACATCGTCAAGAAGCATCCCGTGCTTGAGCTGTGTTGTGTCGTATTGGCCACCGCTTTGCTGCAGTACCCAAACGTGCTGATCCGCGACACGGGCGACGTGGCACTCTCGAGGCTCCTAGTTGACTGCAAGGAGCCAAACGGCAACTGGATATGTCAGCAGGAGAGGAGTAACGACAAGAAAGCGTACATGCTGCAGCTGGCGAGCGGAACGATCATCAAGTTGCTCCTCACCATCATCACCTTTGGGTGTAAAGTGCCCTCTGGCATCATCATCCCCGCTCTCGATGGCGGCGCTCTTTTCGGACGATTGGTAGGTCAATTCGTTGGTGGAATCTCGCCCGGAATTTTCGCAATGGTCGGCGCGGCGGCCTTTCTCGCGGGCGTGAGCAGGATGACTGTGAGCTTGGCTGTCATCATGTTCGAGCTGACTGGCGAGGTGACGTATGTGCCAGCCTTCATGTGCGCCATCTTGACGGCGAAATGGGTGGCGGACGCGATCTCAGGAGAATCCGTGTACGATCTCTCGCAACACCTGCTAGGCCACCCCTTCCTCGATGCGGAACAAGCCCATGAGGTGGTGCGGAAACGCGAAGCCACCGCCCGCGAGCTGGTTCCTCCGGCCAGGACGATGGAGGAGATTACTCTGCAGGTGGGCAGGGAGTACCGCGTTCGAAGGGATGTGCTGTCAGAGAAGCTGCGGAAGCTGAAGGGTAGGGGACTCATGGATGCGGGCCTAGTTCTTGTCAATGATGCTGGGCTGTTATTTGGCTATTTGCCCGAGGCAGAAGTAGAGTATGCGGTGCTGAATGGCGGCGAGGCGGAGGAAATCGATTTGCGAACTGGCTTCATGACTGAGTTGGTTGATCGAACGCCGCTCACAGTCTGCGCCGAGGCCCCGATGGAGCACGTCTTGGAGATATTCGGGAAGCTGGGCCCGAGGTACACCATCATTGTCGAGCCGGAGACATCCAAGGTCCTGGGCGTTGTGCTCAAGAAGCGGCTGCTGGACTTTTTGGATCGGGTAAAGGCGTCTTGATACATCGGCCTGAGCCACTGTAGAGTCTTGGAATTAGCGCGATCGAATCAAAAGTCTTAGTTTTGCCACACTGTCGTTTTTGTCGCCTGGCAATCTGGGTTTGAAAGGCCTATTCTTGGCTTTGTCTCCGGACTAATCCATGCCCACGAACTCTCGTAGAGCATCCGCCTGGAGATTGGTCGTGTCACTCTCCCGCTGCCAGAGCGCATGACGGCGAATCTCCCTCTCATTCCCGCACTTCAAATTTTTGGCCTCTCGTGATGTGCTCTCCTCACAGTCACAACGCTCTTTGCCATGGCCGTCCCTCGTACTTTAGCAATCTTCCATCATCATTGGGTCGTATTGGAATCGCAAAAAGACGTGAATTCGGCTCGATCTATGACCCTCGCGGCAAGATCAACCCCATGCTGCCCTTTTCTGCCCCCCTGATCCTCAAATAACAGGTTATGTACACAGACGCTCGCCGTCCTAGGCTCGTTTCGTTCGTCTCGTCGCGTTGCCACCACTCTAGTTGCTTCTCGTTCCCTTCTCCGCGCGGAGCTCGTTCATCTTGGCGACACGCTTCTTGAACTCGTCGTACTGGCACTTCTCGTAGCTGTGGCGCTCGTCCTGTTTCGATTAGAGTCTAGGTTAGCGACAAGATATGGTCTCGGCTTGATCGGACGGAACGGCTGAAAGGTCGAGAGGGAGGCCGGGGTAGTGGCGGATGGTAAGGGCGAGAAAGACTAACATTGCACTTCCACGGAAGGTACCAAGTGTCGACACGGCAGCGGTTGAGAGGGATAAGGAGACCGGCGCAGCTGTCGCGGTAGGGGAGGGGGAGCTTCGCCTCCCGCATCTCCTCGCGGGTCGCTTCTAGAGAGAGATGTCAGCCATTGCGGGTGGATTGGATAGCATGGGGGAAGATCATGGGGTTACGGACCCCTTGGTGCTGAGTCTCCGGCCATTGTGACGACAATTGGGGTCTATAATGGGCGAATGAGGCTATCGTCGATGGTCAATTGGGATTCTGGATCTTGAAATGTCGTTGGAGCTTTGGATTGGACTGTGGAGCTTCCGACGGTGAATTCACTGGTGGCCTGGGTTTTGAGGCCGGAACCTGGTTGATTACCTTTTGGCGCATTTGATTGGTTGGGGTGGGTTCACTACCAGCACGGTCGCGCCAGAGCCCGTTGAAGCCTCTTATTCAGTCCTCTTGTCTTTACAAACTTGAACTTTATTGCACTACCTTACACACTGCACTACAGAGTACTACTTTACCCAGAGTTTTACATCGCTGGACGCCTTTACAATCTGTAAGTTGTAGGTGCTTACACCGTTAATTCGACCACTTGTACGCACTCTACATGTACTCAGCCACTACGCAACCAACCACATAACATAGCATACCCACTTCCCGAACGCGATAGTCTCTTTATCTGGTTATCTACAATTCACTGATAAGTTATGTGGTGAATGGCGAGGTACCCAAGCAGTATCATCCGTGGGGTGGTGGTGAACGCAACCCTTCAAGCCTGCCTGCAGCAACGTAACATTCCCTGAGTCGATCGTCGGCAGCGGACTTCAGTCTATCTAACGCTTTCACATCATCGTCGATGGGATCTGTGTAGTATCTCTTCCCCTCAAGTACTTGTCAATGGCAGAACGTCTCTACGTTTCTACGGGAAAGACGTTTGCCTCTTAAGCCGAGCTGAGGGGCTCACCATCCGAGACTTTTTCTGCACAAGAGCCGATCACCCAAAACCAACTCCTGTGAATTCATCCCGAGCCCCAAAACACCTTCCCATTGTCGTAGGTCGGCCCTTGGACCGGAGACAATAGTTCCTGCCGGAGTGCCGAAGCGTGCCACCCGACCTGGGGCCATCGCCATCTCCCACCGCTCACCTTCCGCTTCCGGCTAACCTGTCGGCCCACGCAACGAACTTCCCATCACCTGCAAATGCCTATCAGAGATCGTAAAGCCGTTGTCAACCCGCCTACAACCCCCCGGTCTCATTATGGAGACCTCGTCGCATTTGGCCCTTGGGCCCCGTGCGATGCCGGGGTCGCACCGGGGCTAGTAACTCTCCCGCCAACACTTGGAAAGCTTGTTCCTGTTCGCTGTTGCAATACTGCGAATGTCGACAATGTCAAGGCATGCGCTGTTGCATAGCATGCTGCTTAAGCGGTCCCGATCATCGCTTCGTATTACCGTGAGATACGGGGTCTGCGTCCTAGACCCATGTCCAGCGCTTCTTTTAAAAGATGCAGCTCCCCCGCGGTTGTGATCATGAAGCTGAAGTTCCTGCTTGGTTGACGAGCGTGCCAAGCCAGTCGTTCTGTGTTCTAAAGATCCTCGGCTCTCCGTCACCATGAAGGCCTCACTCGCCTTGCTCAGCTGCCTCGCGGTGGCCCAGGCCCACTTCGCTTTCCAGCCCATCCAGCCTCCTCTGAGGGCCGAAGATGAGGAGGAAGGCATCCTCTCCAAGAGAGAAGCCGGTTTCTTCGAGCAGCTCATCGATCACAATGATCCGTCACTCGGGACCTTCCAGCAGAGATACTGGTGGAACTCCACGTACTGGGAGGGACCTGGTTCTCCGGTACTGCTTGTCTCATCTAATGCTGTAGCCATCTCACTGACCACTGGATTGTAGGTGGTGTTCTTCACGCCTGGAGAATCAGAGGCCGCCCCTTACACCGGATACCTCACGGATCGGGCCATCACAGGAGCCATCGCCAAGGCAATTGGCGGTGCTGTCGTTATGGTTGAGCGTATGGAACTTGTCACAGACACTCTAGCAGAGCCAAGAAGACTAATGATACGCAGACCGTAACTGGGGAACCTCCCTGCCGTATGCGGTCCAAGATACAAAGAACCTCCAGCAGCACACCATGACGAATGCCGTTCTCGACTTTGCCAACCTCGCCCGCAACGTCCAGCTGCCTTTCGATAAGAACGGCAGCAGTAACGCCCCGCAGGCCGTGAGTATCAAGACCGAAACTTTCCAAGTAAGCCGACAGAACTGACGACTAGTAGCCCTGGGTATACACCGGCGGATCATACTCTGGCGTTCTGGCCGCAGCCATCGCGAAGCTCGCTCCGGGGACGTTCTGGGCCTACCACTCCAGCAGCGGTCCCGTCGAAGCGACCTACGACTACTGGGGCTACTTCCTCCCCATCCAGAACGGCATGCCGAAGAACTGCAGTCGCGACTTTGAGCGAATCGTCGACCACGTCGACAACGTTTTGCTCACCGGTAGCGATGACGAGATCTACTCCCTGAAGAAGAAGTTCGGCCTCCAGGACCTCGCTCACAAGGAGGACTTTGCCTCGTAAGTTGAAGCCGTGGTAGTAGTGGGGACCGTTGAATTCCGATTCTCACATGTCGGTAGTGCTCTGATCGGACCCCTTGGCTACTGGCAATCCATCCAGCTGTACTCGGGATACTCCGCCTTTTACGAAATGTGCGATACCGTCCAAGGCGCCATTGGTAACTTCTCGGCACCCAACGCGACCTACAGCGCAAACGGCGTTGGCCTTCCGAAGGCTCTGGACAACTACGCCAACTGGTGGAGCACAAACTACCTCCCGGGTAGTAAGTAGTCGCTCTCTTGAACTCTCGCGTGTCTTCTCGGTTACTGACCTTCTGTAGCCTGCGCATCCTACGGCATCGAGGAGTGGTCAGACCCCATGAACGTCGCCTGCTTCGACAGCTTCAACGCTACGAGCCCCATCTACACTGACTGGAGCGCCGAGAACCCGTTCGGTCGGACGTGGTACTGGATGACCTGCAACGAGCCCTTTTTCTACTGGCAGACGTACGTTGACCACGCGATGATCTCTGTGACAGAAGTAAAAGAGCTTCAAGACTGACTGTGATTAGTGGTGCTCCCAAGGATCGTCCCTCCATTGTCTCGCGCTTCGTTACACCGGAGTACTACCAGGGCCAATGCGACCTCTTCTTCCCCAGGCAAGGCGAGTTCACCTACGCCTCCAACGCAGGCAAGACCGCCGCGGACCTGAACAAGGCGACGGACGGCTGGTTCTTCACCAACACCACACGCCTCATGTGGTCCAACGGGTAAGCAATTCCATCGCACCTTGAAATCGGAATAAACGTGACTGACGTTTCTATAGCGAGTTCGACCCCTGGCGCTCAGCCTCCGTGTCTAGCGAGCTCCGTCCCGGCGGCCCGCTCAAGTCCCGCCCCGGTGCGCCGGTCCACCTCATCCCGGGATCCCGCCACTGCAACGATCTGCTTGTCAGAAACGGCGCGGTCAATGAGGATATGCAGGAGGTCATCACTGCCGAGGTTGATCAGATGAAGGCTTGGGTTGATACATTCTATGCCTCCAAGGGCAAGTACAGACGCCGCTCTGCACGGCCTTTGTGAAAAGGGCCACATAGCATTGTGGTGCACTAAAAGGATACTCCGCATCTTTCAGGGTGATTTCGGTCTTTGACTACATGTATATACTAGTACCTTGTCTAATTGAACACAAGCTTGATTCAAGTCTGCTCCGGTTAGCATCCTAGCGTCAACTACCTTTTTGAACAACGCTTTATTCACGCGAAATCGAACCTTGTTCTCATCGCCACCTTTAGAATAGCTGCTGCCCATAACGTGAACTCGGCGTCCAGTTAGCTTTCACTGCCTCCTTGAGGATCGCTCCATCCAGGTCCACTCAAGTAGAGAGGCGACAGGAAAGCATGCCAGCCGGCCCTCAAGTTCTTGTAACCCATTTTCGAGGCGTCGTCAAGGCGTATTAAACAAGGAATAAGCAGAGAGTGGGAGAGAAAGTTGAGGTAAGGTCATCGATGATAGCGGCAGTACGTACCTAAGTAACAGTGAGACTAGGGTAGCTTTCAAGTTTACTCTTCAAGACAGCAGTCAAACATGAAATTAAACGACAGTATATCAAATTGGTGACCACCGGAACGAGAATTCAAAAGCCGAGTCTATCTTCAATACTCACATCAGCTATCATCCGTAGCATTATTAGACATGTGATATTGGGCCTCGTAGCAAAGATAATCGTAAACAAAGCAAGTCTTAAGATTCTGTAAAACCTGAAAGCTAGACTAAAGTTCTATAGGCACTCATACTATCTATACGCATCATGCCACCAGACTCGTCCTCCGAAGAGGCTGAGAGTTTCGCAAAACAATTGAAAAGCCACGTTTACCAAGGCAGATCAGTGCCATCGTGGTTCTTGAACGATCCGCTAATCTCTCTGGTAGCCTTATCAATGGTAGCAACCATATCATCCACACTCTTCTTGACAGGAATGGCACCGAACGCACTCAAGTCAGCGCCGGCCTTGGCCGCCAGACCAGCAGCCATATCCGTCTCGACCAGACCAGGGTGGAAGACAAAGGCAGTCAACCACGGCTCCTCAAAGTGCAACCGGCGCACAAACCAGTTGAGCGCGGCCTTTGACGCGCCGTACGGGCTCGCGGGGCTGGGGATCTGGAAAATCGTCTCTGCAAGGCCGTTGCTGCCAATGGCGGAGGAAATTGCCACAAAGATAGGGTTCTTAGACTTGCTCTCCTTGAGCAGGGGCTTCGTGGCGCCGAAGAGGACGAGGGGCGCGACCGAGTTGACGGCGAAGTGGTCCAGGGCGACCTTGGTGGACGTGGCGGCGATGTCGGCCGAGGTGTGGGAGATGCCGGCGTTGGCGATGACGACGTCGAGGGCGGTGATGCCGTGCTCCTTTTGGATTGTTGCTACGGCGGCTGTGGCGTCTGACTCAACTGAGGAGTCGATCTTGACGACGATGATTTTGGAGCCTTCGGCCTTGGGGAGGTCGTAGAGGGCCTTGGAGGCTGCGGCGACCGGATCGCGGACGCCGACGATGATCGTTGTTGAGGGGCGCTGGAGGAGGAGAGTGGTGAAGCCCTTTCCGATTCCGCGGTTGGCTCCAGTGATAAGGTAAGTGAGTCCGGAAGACATCTTGAAGGTTGATTTGATATAAAGAGAAGTGCTGTGGTTGTATTTAAGTTAGTCGATGTTGAGATGGAGGCTGTTGAGTTTGAGATGTGATGAGAATTCATTCAACCAGCAGAACCAGGTCGAAAAGGACATTTTAAATAACTTGAGTAGATTCGAGTTGACACATTCGTAGTTGCTGATGAACTGACAAATGCAGTATCACATCTCGTGCTCGCATGCCTTGCGGAGTGGCCCATCTTCGAAAGCAATCGAACTGTTGTAGAACACCACTCTCAGGGGTCTCCATTCAGTTTCGGGGCCGAGAATAGCGTCTGAACAGATTGATAATCATAGATCGGATGGACTGCAGTTTTGGGAACGGCAGAGTTCTTGTCGCAGTATCAGAAGTCTAGGCGGATATGCTGTTCACTAATCCAGAAACACGACCCTGAGCTAAGTATAGGGTTAAGATTAGTAGTCAGAGCCGCCAGATATGCAAGCTCAGCACTCACCCTCAGCCATTTCTTTGCGTTCACTAATCATCCTCTCCGCCTCTTTGGCCAACAAGAAGTCCAGACGGAACATTCTCTCTGCCTCGGATTGCGCAGAAGCTCTGATCGTAGCACCAAGCAATGACCTCAGGGCGAGGCTTGGCAAAGACTTCTAATCAGTATATCCAACGGCCTTTGCATGCTTAGTCACCTCATTGCTGTCGAATATGGGCGTGCCAATGTAGTTCCATTTGTATCGATATGCCACCTCACGCCCACTTTTGGTCAACCAGCCGTACACACAACACCGCAGCCCCCGCTGCGCAACATCCGAACAGCATCATCTGAAGTCCTTCCCATAGACATCGCGTCCGTGATGTCTTTCCATCACCCAACAGCCAGCTCTTCCCGGCTCCGAAGACAAACAAAGCAATGAGACAGACGATAATGCTCCACAGAAGCCCGTGACCCACGCTCGAGGCGAAGAAATACGGCAACAGGGGCATCATCCCGCCACAAAGATATCCGAGAGCAATCGACAGGCCTGAGAAGATTGGCGATACCAGTAGGAGGCTCTTACCGACGGTGTCAATTTCAACAAAAGCGCCGTGTCGACTAGCTTGCATGCCGTTGATGATTCTTTCCGAAGCCCAGCTCATCCCTCCCGACTGAGACCTCACGGCCCCGATCACCATCGTGACGGTTGTCTCGGGTAAGCCCAGTGGTTGAAGGTACCGCAGCACTACTTCCTCTTCGTCTGCCGCCCCGCTTGTTTGGCATTTCTCATCGTCGATTTCGTCCTCGCTGCGTCTTCCTGCCGACGACAACATCCCCTGTTCCTCCTCATCCACAGGCGGCAGCGGTGATATCCGGGAGGTATCAGGTGAAGAGTCTCGCGCGGCCAGATAGCCACCAATTCCCATGCTGATGCATCCCGCGCATAGCTCCGCAAGACCGGCGTAGATGACCGTCTCGCTGCGGCCGAGAGAGCTGAGGCCTGCGGTCAGGGCGAACGGTACTGTGAGGCCATCTGAGAAGCCGAGTGTGAAGTCCGAGAGGAAACGAGAAAGCTTGGGAGAGACCATCGTCAAGGCGATGTCTGTGTTCTGCGAGTTGGGGAGTTTATTTGAGCGAGGGGTTCATCACCCGACAATTTGAAAGGGGCTTGTCGGACTGAATCAAGGCTACCAGGAATGGTGAACTGGATTGTCGATTTGAGTGAAACAAATGAGAATTGGGGGCAACTTCGCATCGAACTGCAGCGACCAGAACACAGAATTTGGAGACTCAAACTTAGAAAGCTCAGCCTAAAGAGAAATGGGACACGGGTCCCGGCAATGATACACCGGCACAGGAAGGGCTGCATTTTGCCCCTCACACACGGCTCAGTCTCCAATTCATTCAAAGTCCTGTCCACGCGCCGTTTCTGCGCTTCTGAGTGGACGGTACAGCATAGCCACAACACAACCGAAAAGTCGGCTGAGAGATGCAGTGATACCCAAATGTTTCCCTTAGTGGAGAAATAGTCGGCATCGAAGCCGAAGAGGGGTGTGGGGGAGCAAGAAACATCTGTCAAGACACAAGCTTTCGCCCAGAGGCGATGCCAAGAGCGACCACGTGTGTGGAGTCCGGAGAATATGACCCCTCAATCGTCGGCCAATAATTCGAGATGAGTTCTCACCTTCCCGACAAGGAAGGACATTTTGTGCTCCTAATGCAGGGATAGCCGTTGACGATCTCTTCTCCACCCGACGCCTTCCCTGCTCGGGCCGCTGTCAATGAACATCCTTGTGGAACGACTCGTCGACATCACGAGGGCTGATTCTGCATGCCGCGTACCATCCGGGTGACGAATTTTAGTCTTCGCTCGGCCAAGTCCGATGCCATTACCGTTGCCCCCTCTCTGAGCGGCGTTGTTCTTGTTATCTCTATCACTGTCACGACTGTTGCTTCTGTCGCTCTAATTACCTCTGACGTCTCTACAGTCTATCATCTTGCATACATATGTACATATTCGAGAACGTATACCTGAGAGAAATATAATAGAGAAAATTATAGAGGTTAAAGAAAAAGAGAAAGTGCTAAAGAAAATTAAGAAGGTTATAGGAGAGAATAGACTTTGAAAAAACTTCTTATTAGAAGTATATTTTATAAGACCTAGATAATTAGGCTCTATTTATATTATGACCTGATTATTTAGGGAATATTGATCAAAATCGTAGTAACAGATTTGTTTCTACAATGCTAGTAACTCCTAGGTGCTTTGTCCCGAGACCTTACGCCTTGTAGCCAGGAGGCGGGTTAAGTCCGTCCGAAACCTGAACAGTATCCTCGTAGTACGTAGGAGCTTTGCTGTCTTTCCAGGTCGCCTTGATGGACTCGAGAATCTTCCTGCCGGCCGCATTCTCGTCCAAAGCCAAGTTGGGCTTTGGGTACTGCTTCGCGGTTTTGCTGTTGAAGAAACCAGCATACGACTGGTTGAAGTAGCGGTCGGGCACTGTCGAGGTGTTGCTCCACTGGCGAATGACGCTATTGGTCTTGTCGGCAACAAATTTATAGACGTTGGCGCCGACATCCCACCTTCCGAGGGTCGGGAGGTCCCAGTTGGCCTCAACTGTAGCGAGCTCAGAATAATGGTTATAGAAGTTTGAGTCCGTAGTGCCAACGAGTTCTTTAGGGATTGCGTCTCCTAAAAGAATGCCAAGAATGCGGTTCTTTTGTGTGTACGTCTCATTCTCGTCCCAAGTGACCAGAACCAATGTGTTGTTCATGAAATTCTTATCTTCGAGCAGCGGCTCAAGGAACTTCCTATTCCAAGCACCTGCAGTAGTGACAGACTCATCGTGGCCGTCCGAAGTCATATTCGGCGTGCAAAATAACCATTGGGGTAGCTTGTTGGCCTTGAGGTCTTTGTGGAATTGTGATCGCTCCGGGTAGACCATGGACAGGTTCTTGACCTGGGACAGGCGCTGCTCCGAACTAGTGACGCTGTCAAAGAAGATTGGCGGGTCATGTTTGCGGACATAATCGTTAGCTCCGTTTTGTTGGTTTACCCATGCCATGCCTTCGAAACCAGAGAACGGCATGTCTTCCTGGTAGGCCGCCCAAGAGATTCCTCGAGTGTCCAGGAGATCAAACACTGTAGAAACATTCCGGTCGGCGCGATTGAAATTATCGTTATTCATTCCCAAATAATCTCCAGAGACCGATGCAAAGTAATTGGGCTCAGAAGGATGAGTGACAGCAAAGTTGTTGGACAGCGTGATGCCCTTCTTGGCGAGCCATGCAAAGTTGGCTGCGACAGGTCAGATTCTGAGGGAGCAAAGGGCTCAAAGAAGCACTTACTATCACCAATAGCCTTGTCGTAATCGGTGTTCTCATTCCAGATAATGACAAAGCGGTCGAAAGCCTTGCCTTTGACGTTACTGGTCGGGCTGCTGGTCTTGGCCGTGGCGGCAGCAGCCGCGACAGCAGCGGTACCGGTGGCAGTGTACCGTGTCTCCCAGCCTCCAGAAGAGCTTGAAGAAGTCGCTCGAGCAGCGAGAGGCGTGACGGCAGCAGCATGGGCACCGACCGCAAGGAAAGCTGTTGCAACTGCGCAACGCATCGTGGAGGATGATGAAGTTGGAAAGACCTTCAAACGAGCGGTTGAAAGAGCGGCGTGACGAACACAAGGAAAATCGAGAGTCTCGACGTCGGGAAGACTTGATTATTTCATGTTTTCTATGATTTGCTGTCGGGCACCTCCGTGTCGGTGACTCTGTAGTATCGGGACGAGGAATGGGGAAGGTCACATCCCTGACAGGCTGACAGCATCGCCACCCCTGCGCACGGGAACGCTCGTCGATCCATTAAACGAACAGATGGATGGGACGAAAAAAAGGAGCCTGTCAGTACTGTTGGATCTAGTGGATGGCATTGAATCCATTTCCCCTCAGCCGACTTGGACTGTCTAGACTCCAATTGCAGACGCAGGTTGTCAAAGTGTGAAGTCTGATTGGGCCATGTCGAGCGCACGTGTAAGAGGACAGGCATGCCGGCTTCCCGAGAGCGCGGCAACGAGCGGGCAGAAACAAAACAGAATGCTACGCCACCCCATTTTCCGGGAACTTACCTGCCTTGAACGGCAGTTCGGCTCGTGAGCGGCATTTTGTTCGCATTTTCAACCTCTTGTTCGAATTTGTCTCTCTTCGCTCCTTGCGTTGTTCCTTCAATTCGTCAAGACGCAATGAACTTCGCGCCATGGACGACGTCGAGCGAGGAAGCGATCAAGAGAGGCTTTTGAGTCCGGCTCTAACGATCTCCACCGACTTCAACTTGGACCACCTGGAGTCGTCGTCTTTTGGTTCGGCTGCAGAGGACAACGGCGAGAAATCGCCATTTCTTCCTCCCCAAGATAATGCTGAGAGACCGCAACGGTTGAGGAGTCGATCAGATGGCTCTTGGCTGAGTCGAATTTTTACAGGCTTCTTTGGTGTTTTCATATTCTTCTTCGTTTTCTATGCGTTAGATCTATTTTACCCAGCGACTGCACCGCATCATTCTCAACCGGCAGTCTATGTGGTCAAAGAGCCGATACCATCATCGCCACAATTGAGGAACTCGTCGGAATATGTTTTGGGCTCCTCATGGAACTTCAACGCCGCGCCAAGCACCAGAGAATACTACTGGATCATCAGCGATGCAGCCTTCAACCCTGATGGGATCTTTCGGCCGATGATGCTCATCAACAACCAGTTTCCCGGACCTCTCATTGAGTGCAACGAGGGAGACACCATTGTTGTCCACGTCCGCAACGAAGCCGTCAATGCCACAGCCATTCACTTTCACGGCATGTATCAAAACGGCACAAACTCCATGGACGGCACCGTCGGCGTGACGCAATGCCCGATTGCACCCAACGCGACGTTTACGTACAGGTTCACGGTTGAGAACCAGTCAGGAACGTATTGGCACCACGCACATCACAGCAACCAAGCTTCTGATGGTCTAGTAGGGCCTCTCATCATCCACCCGAGAAACGACCTAGGTACCAAAGATCAGTACTCGACTGATCGGGTTATCATGATCTCGGACCACTATCACAACACATCGGCCGAGTTGTTGATGGACTATCTTCAGCCAGACCAGGAGAATGACGAGCCTGTGCCGTCGAGTGGCCTCATCAATGGGCGCAACTATCGCGATTGTGCTGATTTTGACGGGTGGAATTGCCATAACGAGAAACCTCATGTATCATCGTTGGAAACCTTTAGCCTGGCTCCAAATGAGCGGCATCGCCTCAGGTTCATCAACACTGGGGCCTTTGCCGAATTTCAAGTCGAAATTGACGAGCACCCGCTCTACATCACCGAGGTCGATGGGACTGATGTTCATCCTGAACCCTTCCACCGCCTCAATATCCTTCCGGCACAGCGCTACAGTGTGGTTATTGAGACCAATCTCACCACCGCCAACTCATACTGGTTGCGAGCTAGGATGGTCACGCACTGCTTCGCACGAGAAAACCCCTGGCTCGATTCAGAAGTGAAGGGGATCGTCCAGTATGCCATACCAGATCTCTCTAGCAAAGAGAAGACGCATGAAGCGGCTTCAGAACTCAGTGAACCACAAAGCAAGAGCTGGGACGAAGCCATAGACGTCGACTGTCGAGACATGAACATAACTCTTCTCAGGCCTGTCGATGTGATTCCAGCACCCAATGTCACGGCCACAATGTACCTCCGCGCCAACTTCGAAATCGGAGCATGGCGTCTATCGCGGGGCTTCTTCAACGCCTCGACATGGCACGCCAATGTCACCTCGCCGGCTCTGTATCGCTTCATGGATGCCGCGAAAAGCGACAATGACACATTGTTGCCGTCTACAACCGGCGTAAACGATGTTAACTTCAACCCAGAGAATGAGTTCGTGTACCAGACGCAAGGCATCCAAACGGTCAACATCATAATCAGCAACTTTGACGACGGCGCACATCCGTTCCATATCCACGGGCACAAGTTCTTCGTACTGAAGCAGTCCCCAACAGGCTACCCACCCGAAGACATGGCCGAGTTGGAAGCAGAACTCGCGGCTTCGGGTGTTCTGGAGAACCCGCTCAGAAGAGACACGGTAACAGTCCAAGGTTACGGGTGGGCAGTCGTCAGAGTCGTGCTGGATAATCCGGGCGTGTGGGCGTTACACTGCCACAACGCATGGCACGCGGAGGCGGGCATGGTCATGATGATTGCAGCGAGAGTCGAGACGGCCAAAGAATTGAAGGCGGCGAGCAAAGAGGAAGCAAGGCTCTGCGGGTTGCCTGGGGTCGAGAAAGGGGTTCGGCCTAGTGATGACATTTGGTTCGGCAACTTTGGTTGAAAGAGCAAATACGAGATTCTGTCAATAGAGGGTTAGTAAGTGCTACTGCCCGGAAAGTAGTCTTTCTCAAAAGAGAGAATGAGAGCTTCGGCGGACAATTGGAACCCGCTCCCCGTGATAATTACACCGCCTCTAATGGTCTAACCCACGGGGAAATTGTCGAGTGCATACGCTCCATCTGTTTCCGTCCTGTAATGAATCAGAAATCAGCTGTTGTGGGATCCATCCATCAGTCAGGTTTCTACTAAGTCCGTCGGCGAAATACTAACGGCTAGAGTACCCTTGTCAACCCGTTTGTTGTCAAGCCCCCCGTGGGCAAGGCGTTGTGGTCCTCGGCATTATCCCTTGCTCGTTGGAGTTGTGATCCACCCTAGGTTTCCATCGCCTTTCACTTCTCCGCGCATGTACGGAGCTATGTCTTCTGCAAAAGAAAGTTGCTGACATCTACCGGTCGAGTACCGAGACATTGTGTCTAAGAAGGACAAGACAGCTTCAATAGTCCCGGTAGTTCCGAAGCTCCTTCCTTTCATAGATACGATGGCTTCATGTCTCCCGGGCGTCGACTCATGACGGAGAGTGCGCCGGCTGCACTTCGCACCAGAAAAGGAGTTGCTTGCTTGAGAGTTGAACGATCTAGACCGCTGAGAGTCTAGAGGTTCTCAGCAAGCTAGTCTGCATGTAGTTGCTTGAACAGGGGGCACATCGAATATTACAAGAGATTGGGAAATAGGCAAACGGGTCCCGTACTAACTCGATCGGATACCGGATTCCGCAGTACCCATCATCCGGTCTCCCATGAGTGCACGTGTGCTGTATCAGCCGTGTGGTCCCATAATCCCATTTGCCATCATGCCCATTTCTCGCCGGGCTCCGCAATGGGAGGCGAAGTTTTTGGCCCCTTAATTCTTCTTTCAGCAGTTCTGCGACGAATCAGTTGTAGTGTTGTAAGTTCCATGTTGGAGCTTTTTCTGCCAATCTGTGATCGTCACTTTTCGGTCCGTTGTAAAATTCTCAAAGTCAAAAAAAGGAGAGGTGTAGTGCGGAATTGACAGAGAGTTCCAGTTTTCTGATGTAAAAAGGCCCGTTGAAACAAGAGACAACTGATGCGTCGCATTGAGTCGGAAATAAAGAGCAATTGGACGCATGTGCCCCAGTTTATCGCACTCTGTTCGTATGTTGGTCCTATCTTTCTTCACCCACCTGCATACATCTCAGTGCCGAGTTCCATATTATTTTTGGGGTAAACGATTCCAGCTAGATAGGACGCGCGCCCCATCAACTCATCTTTAGGATGGAGCCGCTGAAGCATCTAGATGGACATTGTCTTGCTTCTAGAGAATTGTGCCGGCTGCCGACTATTCAAGAGTCATGTCGATGTCATTTTCATTGTTGAATGATGATATGCGGCTGAGACTTGAGGGTGCCATGTAGAGAGAGAGCCGGCAAGTCGGGCGGAAAAACCAAACATGATGCGACGTTGAAATTGAAGATTCAGAGTTTTGACTGGTGCAAATTCAAGGACTGTCAACTCCCTAGCTGCCGTTCAGATGACTTGTGTTTCATCCGCCATCCAACATGGTCAACACGAAGACAGGCGCAAACTCTAATTCCCTTTCAGGATCGTGAGAGGGGGGAAGGAGAAAATCTGCCAAGTCAAAGTGAGTTAAACACCTGCATCAGTTACGTTGCACCGTCAAGCGAAAAGGCGCGAGCAGCCAAAGGTGTCGGATGCTAGACATTCATGGTCAAGACTCAAATTAGCTCGTCGACGGGGACCCGGTTCTGGCAATATTCTGCACATTCTGCACGCGTGACGGACCAGCGCTAACATGACTAGGCCATCTTGAGGATGTTTGGAGGGCAGCAAAACAGTTGAGGATGGGCCCGAAACTCTGAACTTTCCCGCCAATCATGGGCAGAATAGGCAGAAATGTTCCATGGCAGCACCAATTCTCGTGGCTTTTGGTAGACGCTCCCCGAAAGTCAATTCTATTACTACCGTCTGCCGTACCATGATGTGATCAACCCCCCCACCCCACTCCCATAAGTCCCTTCAGCTATACGTGTTCGGGAGGCCGTGACCACCACATTACCAACGATTCAACCAAGCTAACCCTGAAGGCACGCAATATCAGTCGAACTCTGTTCAATTTAAAGCTCACATTGTCTGACCATAAACTTTCCACCAACCAGCCGGCCTGGTACCGGCATCCCTGGAGAACAATTGGTCCGTTACGCGTCCAGTGCTCCTAGGCAATCCCCCTTTCGCGCTCCCGTCCCCTCCTCCTTTTGTATGATGCCCCCCAATGCTGGGAGGTTCGATGTTTACCACAATGGGACGAAAAGCCCCAGTGCAAAGTTGCGGCTGGAAGAACGGCACGGAACTCGGCAACTTGAGATCCAGGATTGATACAACCACCTAGTGAATAGAGTGCCTAGATTCGATCGGTGCAAGGGCCGGACGACCCTGCTTCAACAAGCCTTAGCCTTGGCGGCGTACGAAAGTAGTCCACAGACGCGGAGCTCCTGGTGGTAGTGGTGCTCGTCTATGTCAATCGCGGAGATGGCACTGTTGGGCAGAATCTAGTGCGATTCCAGAAATTCAGGAGTTGTCGGTGGGGTTTGCCTGCCTGCATGGGACCATGATGAGCAAGGGCCATCCCCGGCACTCGCGTTGCTTCTGGCTTGGGGCCCGGTCGAGCTCCATCTTCCATCTAACTGACTCGGCCAGTGTTTCCCTGTTCCCATGATGCGTCCAGACGACTGACTGTGCAGTCGGTACGTGGAACAAGGTATCCGTACGGAAAGAGAGAGAGAGAGAGAGAGAGAGCAGAGGAGGATGGCAAACAGGAGCAGTTCGTTGACAGGCCTTGGCAAGGCTGTGCCAAGAGATCCCGTCGATTTGGATATAAACCATCCTGCAGTTCCTCCCCAGATTGCCAAGAAGCTTCCAAGACATCACTCCCGCAGATCTCATCCAGTTTACCATTCTAGAGTCTTGGCTCATTCATTCTTTCGTCTTATTTTTTAACAAGCATTCTGATACTGTGTATCAAGTCACTCACTACTACCAAAACAAGCTTCCTTCCAACAAAATGGTTTCTTCACTTCTCGCCCTCGGCGCCTTGGCCGCCACTGCTATCGCTGCTCCCCTCGATGCTCGCGCCAGCTGCACCTTCACCGATGCCGCTGCCGCCATCAAGGGCAAGGCTAGCTGCACCAGCATCATCCTCAACGGCATCGTCGTCCCTGCCGGTACCACCCTCGACATGACCGGTCTTAAGTCCGGCACCACTGTAAGTTGAAAGAGTCTTTGACTACCAAGTAACTCTTAAGCTAACACCGTAAAAGGTCACCTTCCAGGGCAAGACCACCTTCGGCTACAAGGAGTGGGAGGGACCCCTCATCTCCTTCTCCGGTACCAACATCAACATCAACGGTGCCTCTGGCCACTCCATCGACTGCCAGGGTTCCCGCTGGTGGGACTCCAAGGGAAGCAACGGCGGCAAGACCAAGCCCAAGTTCTTCTACGCCCACAGCCTCAAGAGCTCCAACATCAAGGGTCTCAACGTCCTGAACACCCCCGTCCAGGCCTTCTCCATCAACAGCGCCACCACCCTCGGCGTCTACGATGTCACCATTGACAACTCTGCTGGCGACTCCGCCGGCGGCCACAACACCGACGCTTTCGACGTCGGCTCCTCCACCGGCGTCTACATCTCCGGCGCCAACGTCAAGAACCAGGACGACTGCCTCGCCATCAACTCCGGCACCAACATCACCTTCACCGGCGGTACCTGCTCCGGTGGCCACGGTCTGTCCATTGGCTCCGTCGGCGGCCGCTCCGACAACACCGTCAAGACCGTCACCATCTCCAACTCCAAGATCGTCAACTCCGACAACGGTGTCCGCATCAAGACCGTCTCCGGCGCTACTGGTTCCGTATCCGGCGTCACCTACTCCGGCATCACCCTCTCCAACATTGCCAAGTACGGTATTGTCATCGAGCAGGACTACGAGAACGGCTCCCCCACCGGCACCCCCACCAACGGCGTCCCCATCACCGGCCTCACCCTCTCCAAGATCACCGGCTCCGTCGCCTCCTCCGGCACCAACGTCTACATTCTCTGCGCTTCCGGTGCCTGCAGCAACTGGAAGTGGAGCGGTGTCAGCGTCACTGGCGGCAAGAAGTCCACCAAGTGCTCCAACATCCCTAGCGGCAGCGGTGCTGCTTGCTAAGCGTCTCGCACTTGCGAGTTTTCCCGGCCGCTCTCTTCTGAGTCGGTGATACCCACCCAGGGGTGCTAGTCTCTTTTTCCTCGGTGGGAACGCTGACGCGGATTGTTTTGTGCTGGACTTTCTTGTAATGAGTTGAGCCGTGTCTGCAAAGTAGTCAGCCGAGCGCAAATTTGTTCCTGTATATAATTTCCTTTGTCGTTCTCAAGATGTCTTGAGGCGAGATACATACGAATCCAACTACATACTGGATGAGCTTCATCATTACCTTCCTGTGACTCCAAATTCTTCAAGCTCGCAATTGACCCATGTTCTGCTTTAAGCCTTTGTGCCAAGAAACCAAGAGATAAACGACTGCTCATTTCCACATTCGTTACAGGGATCCCTACATGGCATACCCCTGGAATGCGAAATGGCCCGGACCCCCCGACCCTCATTTCCAACCGAACCACAAAAGGGCCTGGCCACACGACATTATTTAATCAACACAAAATCAACCCGAAAACAAAAAGAACTGCCCACATGTTCAAAAAAGCAAAAGAAAGACTCCTCGACGGGGAATTGAACCCCGGTCCCCTGCGAATCGTTGAATTTTCAATGACAAGCAGATATCCTCACCACTAGACTATCGGGGATTGGTGGATGTTGACATCCAGTGATAGTTGGTTGACCGAGCCAGCCACAAGCGCCTATATCAAGGCTTCAAACCACATACCTCCACCCGCAATTCCTCATGGAGTTGGTTTTCCATCGTTTTCTTGGCA